GGTCCTGTGTTGTCTTGGTGTATATTTAATATACTTCTAATTTCTATTTCAATCGTTCTAATTACTTCTCTCTCTATTTTTCTCTTTCTCTATTTTCTCTTCACTTAAAAAAAGTCACTGATGATGAAGAAATAAATAAACTAATAATATTTAGTTTCATTTTCTACTGAAGTGACAAAAAAAGAACAGCATATTACATATAAGGAAAATTTGTTATTTATTACGAATGTTGCAATTTCAGCAACAGCAAAAGTAATGCAGTTCAAAGAAACATCTCCAGTTTATATTGAAACATTTTTTTTACTCAGCAATGATTAAAAAACATTTTAAATTATATTTTAACATAATGGCCAGCTATAGCAGATACAGACACCAGTTTTCGCCATGACTTTATAAAGACTTTAACTTGTCATTGTTTCAAGATGAAGAAAGACAAGTGTTCTSTTCAGTAGCTGAAACTAGTGCAGAAAGAATCAGGTATGTACTTGTTTAGCATCACTGAGTTCCCATAAGGAGCAGCCTCACTAAGCTTGTTAGATGACTTCTATCATAGTCTTGTTAGGATATCTCCATATTGGCCTCAGAATGTCTTTTTCTCTGCCGCTTCACATAACTCCAATGAGTGCTCAACACAGGAGGAGAAAGTGATGATTTTCATTTAACAGATAATTAGCTTTTACGCAACCGCGTTTTTCATTATGCATTACGTGAGGCGTGATATTACCATGTTTCACTAACTATCCGTGATTCTTTTTTTTTTTTTGAAACAATGAGATCCTGCAATACTTTGTGTGAAAGTAGAAGCTGAAGCGAGTAAGAAACTGACAGATTACTTAAGAGAAAAGAAGGAGAGAAGGGAATGAAAAGCACCCTTTTTGCTGGGCTTTGGCCAATGAGCGTGCCCTTCCCCATTACTCTTACATGGTGCAATATGCAGGTCAGTCAGGCGATAATGAATGCTTTGTCTGATACTCTGACTTTCTTCTTCCCTCCAGCATACCTGCTATGCTCTCTCAATTTCTTTCTCTTTTACTTTGCTCCTACATTGCATTAGTACATTTGACTTTCATTGGTCCATTTAGAGGTTTTTTTTTTTGTTAGGAACAATTTGTCTAAAAAGTTTTTATGTGCGACAGAAAACGTTGATTTTTTTTTTTACATATACTGTAAATTAAAGAACGTTTAGTTAAGTCACAGGATGCCACGAGTCAGAAGTTGCAAGACACCCTTTTATTTTAGAAAGAAAAGGGAAACTAACATATCTTAATACCCCAGCATGTACTGGGTGAGGGGCATAGCTTTTAGGCTACATCCAGAACATGGCAGCGATCTCAAAAGAGGCCATATTGGATCAAAATAAAAGGATGTCCTTTGACTTTTGACTCCGTCCGTCCGTCCGTTTTCTTCCGCTTATCCAGGATCGGGTCGCGGGGGCAGCAKCCTAAGCAGAGAGACCCAGACTTCCCTCTCCCCAGCCACATGGGCCAGCTTCTCTGGGGGAATCCTAAGGTGTTCCCAGGCCAGCTGAGAAACATAGTCCCTCCAGYGTGTCCTGGGTCCTCCTCTGGGCCTCCTCCCAGTGGGACGTGCCCAGAACACCTCACCAGGGAGGCGTCCAGGAGGCATCCTAATCAGATGCCTGGGCCACCTCAACTGGCTCCTCTCGATGTGGAGGAGCAGCAGCTCTACTCTGAGTCCCTCTATAATGACTGAGCTTCTCTCCCTATCTCTAAGGGAGAGCCCAGACACCCTGCGAAGGAAACTCATTTTGGCCGCTTGTATCCACAATCTCGTTCTTTCGGTCACTACCCAAAGCTCGTAAMCATAGATGAGGGTAAGAAGGGCTTTTGACTCACCTTTTATAATGATTTAAATTTCCAGGCACCAGCCTAAAACAAAACAAAAAACATTAATTCATAAGTCTGAGTGATATGTTTTGGTTGAAATATTTGACTTGAGAGTCCAAGAGGCACACAGAAATGAGCAAATAGTCTTTCTTTGTGTGGGGTGGGGGTGGGGGTGTCTTTCCGATTAAGATGCTTTTAAAAGTTAAAAATAAAACATCACTTCACTCCTAATAACATCAGTATTTATTAAATAACTGAGGAGAGTTCATCACTGAGTTTTCTTCTGTTGTGAAAGGATGTGAAGAGTTCAGCTTTTGAATAAAGTATCTAT